TAGATATCTTCATTATACAGATATCTGTGAGTGTTCATTATCCATCTTTCTACATTATACAGCTATCTGTTTTCATTGTTTATCTTAATTATCTATCTATGAGCGTTCATTATCTATCTTAATTATCTATGAGCGTTCATTATTATCTCTATATCTATCAGTGTTCATTATCTTTTTGGCAGTGTTCATTATCTATCTATCTATCTATCTATATCTATCTAAGTTTCTTCATTATCTATCTATCTGTCTGTTTATCGATCTACCTTGATGATGTCCTACTGATGCTTGCTTAATTCACATCAGGGAAAAGTTATAACAGATTTCTCTTACGCTAATGAATATTGAAAATTAAAAATAAATTTATAAGAAACACATCTTATTGTATGCCTCTGTACGTCTGCATCAAAGTATGGTTCTTTATTAAGTCTGGCACAAGGCCATAATTATCAAACTTATTCATTTGAAATATTTTGGAAAAACCAATTTGCTCCCCACTGTCCCACGTCAAGACATTATATTAGTTAAGCATTAAGATCAAAACTACAAGTGTGGAGCACCTATGAGATTCACACTCATTTCTCAGCTATAATAACCTGTGGATATATATATATATATATATATATATATATATATATATATATATATATATATATATATATATATATATATATATGTTTTGAACAAGTGAAAACTATTAAAATTTAAAATTTTCAGACACACTGGGTTGTATATTAATATTTTTTCGTTTTTATTATTTCAATTAGATTCGTCAACTAGTTTCGGCCAGCATGGCCATCATCAGGAGAAAAAAAATTCTGCTTGTTAATAGCAGTGAACTACAGAAATGAATGACTTGATGGAGAAAATGAACTTTTGTCTAGTTTTCATTTGTTTTTTTGTTTTTTATCATAAATTTAGGTCAGTCCTTGTGTTGGTCAAACAGTATCTTTTTAATATTATATATATATATATATATATATATATATATATATATATATATAATATTGATTTCCTGTTTTTAAAAGCTATTATTTCGATCGAAATTCTGTGATAAGATGGATGGAATTATAACTGGCATCAGAGTCCAGGCGTAAACAATGCAGAACTGATAGATGATGAAAGAATTATGACGAAATGGATATTGACAGATTCGTCCGGAAAGAAATATCCGATATTGAACTTGTACTTTCTCTTGATTCATTCCTTAGACATTTTCTTTACAAGCATAACTTTTATTATTAATTATTATTATTTTAATAAACCAATGTTTGTTTACTTTAATTTCTATCAATTGAATTTCTCCAAGAAATTAATTATTCCATAAATTATTGTTTAATTGAAATCTAAGCTCCCAACTTCTATTGAAAGATACTTGATTTGGATTATTATCAGTATCAGATAATTTTAACAATTAAAAGCCATGAAAATTTCTGGATTTCTTTTTAGAGAACGGGAAAAAAAAGTACAATATGAAAATGACAGTTGCAATTATTGTTTCGTGAGCGCTTGGGATAGTTCCGAAGCGCCTCACAGAAGAAAAAGCAGGAAGAGATCCAAAGTAAAATCTGAATTGTCCGGACAGTAGTCAGAAAGTCAGAAAAGAGAGTAAGTTGCAGGATTAAAGAATATATGGAGAAAATGGTTTCACTTCATCCCCCCAAAGAACAAAATATAAAAAAAGTTACTTCTTTTGCGAAACTTAATGAATGCTGAAGAGAAGGCTGAAGCCTAGAGATTTGTTGTCACTTGATCTCCTGTGGAAACCATGAGATATTACTGGTTTGAAAACTTCATTTAATAATAATAATAATAATAACTCGTAGTAGTGGCGATCTAAAGAGACTTGTTGTCACTTGAACCCCAGTAAAAGCCGCCAGATACGACATACGACACGCATAAAAACTTATTAACAATAGTATAGTAAATTTAAAAAGTAAAAAAGCTAAAATAAAAAAAAAACCTGCATTGAAAGGGTTTTAATTCAATCAGATTACCCAAAATCTGCTCCTTGATGCGAACAAAAAGAAAAAGAAGATCTACCCAAAATGTACCTAATATGAAAATGCTTAAATCGGTCAGCAAAAGAGGCACTCGAATAGTCTATACTATAGATTCTATAGCAATAATGATATAGAAATAAAATACTACTGCCACGAAGGATGTTGATGATGTCAATAAGAATTGAAACCTTACTAATATCACATAAATGCCGGAGTTTTGACGAAACCTGTTGTCACTTGATCTCTTGCGAAAACATAGATGTGATAGGTCTGAATACTCGACGGGTAATTAACACTGCTGTCCTTACTACAACACCTACTAATAATATTTTTTGTAAAGTATAATGGTGGTATATATTCACATATCTTAAAATCTAAATGTAGACGCGCATGCGCACACAAACACTAATATATTAACCCAAATACAGATATACACGCACAAACATTAATGATATTTATGCAAATGTATTTATATATATAATATATATATATATAAAGCAAACTATATAAAATCAATATATATATATATATATATATATATATATATATATATATATATATGCATACATATGTGTGTATGCATAATGCGAATGATAAAGTTTGATAGACAATAATCGATATGAAGTCGTAATTGACGAAAACACACAAACATACACACAGAAATGGATAAAAATGAACAGTAAAGTCCACCGCTGCGCCTGTTTCCACCTGTAAATAGCTCTACCCACCCGATCCTCTTGGGCCATTGAAATATAACTGACCTTCAGTCTTCGTTGTCCACCTTGGCGACTGATCACGACAATAAATGATACTGTCAACAAATCAAACAAAGTTATACAGTTCCCTTGCGATAGAAGAAAAAAAAGTAAATAAATAAATAAAAAACAATCGATCTACCGTTAATCGATCAGTCGATTTGAAGCTTTTCGGCTTTAACTAAAGAACCAACATCTAAATGGGACGATGGTAACATATCTAGAAATAACCATTTTCGATTTGCGTTTACAACATTGATATAGCGTCGGGGTGTTGAAAAATTCTCGTCCCAACACACCTTTCAAAACCAATATTAATATGACCTTACACAAGAACACTAATTTTGGCAAAGTGGGTCGGTCCAAAAAACTTTTCTGCATCCCCTCATAACTCCATTGCATTAATTCACACACACACAACACGGACACACACACACAACACGGACACACGCACAACACGGACACACACACACACCTTTCAAATGTGGTATATTTATTGGATAATGGTGATTGTAGATATAGATAGACGGTCTGAAGTTTACTTGAAGCATGAAATTGACTTTCAGAATTCATTTCATTTGACTATGCACACTTAAAATTATATATATATATATATATATTTATATATATATATATATATATATTATATTATTTTATGTATTAAAATGCTCTTTTAAAAGAATTTAAATAAGTACCTCTCTTATATACGTAAGAAAATGAATATATATATGTGTGTGTAGATAGATAGATAGATAGATAGATAGATAGATAGATAGATATTAATCGAGTTGATCCCAAGCAAGGCAATAAAGCCACTAAGACACAAGGAGTTACTAGGGGTGGAAGGATTAGAAAACAGAAACATTACAAAGGAGAGCGAAAAAAAAGAAGGACAATCAGGAAGATAGTAGATAGCGATTGACATTGCATCAGAATATGGGGGCATTAAAATTGGCTGAAAAGCATGGAGCAAGAAGACAGTTCCACAGGCGAGAAATGCGAGAAAAGAAACTGTTAGCATAGAACTTACGGTTGCATCCTACCAACTCAACTGTAAAAGTATAATAAATAATATCATTTGAAATAATACACATTATTTGAAATAATATATATATATATATATATATATATATATATATATATATATATATATATATATATATAACTACTGTTTCTCTTTTCCTTTTGCGCTAATGAGGAAAGAATTAGGAATCTTAGTTTTTCTCTCATTAAGTTGATTTTGAATTGTATTTTCCCCAACTAAAGGATGAGGCAAAAGTTAATGATTCGAATGTTGTTTTTCGAGGTAGGTACACGAGTTTAGGTCAGCACCACTTTCCTAGGGACCTAGTAGTCAGTACAGACATGTACTTATAAAATTTTGCAACACTTTCCCTATCCCAGAGTCTGATGGAATATCAGTGATCGAGCGCTTGAACTGCGGGCTACGCTGAGAATTCGAGCCCGGATCAAGATCAAACTTTCGAATGAAAATTGTTCTCTTCCCGCTCTTTGTTGCAACCTCTCCGTACGTGACTGAAAAATCATCGATATTTATTTGTTCTAACAGCTCGTCTCTGGCAAACAGTTGAAGTACATTATCAAATCTATCTTCTTGTAGTCTCTCACGCTTCTGACATTAAAAATCTACCCATTCTCTCTCTTTCTCTCTCTCTCTCACTTCTCACACGCACACAAACACACTTCTCTATCACACTCGTGTTTGTGTGTGGCTCGCCCATATGAATAAAAATCCGAGTCCAAGCTTTGTTGAACGTCCAATTCAGGTGTCTATAGTTGGAATGGTTCTTTTCCTCTTCTCTGTTAGTCACACCTATCCACCATCCCGTTTCTTCCATTACCTGGATGCATGTAAACTACACCCCCGCATATTTTTGATTTCTTTCAATAAACATCTTGGCTTGTCTGATTGTCATGCGGCTAATTAACGCCCGTAGGAATATCTATCTATACCTGTCTATCTACCTCGGTGTATTCAGATCTATCTCATTGTATGCGGATTTATCTATCTATCTCATTTTGTTCACGTCTATCTACCTCAATTTGTTCATATCTATCTATGCATCTATCTCAGTCTATTCATATCTATCTATCTCTCTATCTCAGGCTATTCACATCTATTTATGCACTATCTATTCATATCTCTCTCTCTCTCTCTCTCTCTCTCTCTATCTATTCATAACTATCTCAGTCTATTTATATCTATCTCAGTCTATTCGTATCTATCTATCGATCGATCTATGTGCCTGTCTCAGTTTATCCACATCTCTCTCAGTTTGTTCACATCTATCTTTATACCTATCAATGCTTATTCCCATCTATCTATCGAAGTTTATTCACATCTATCTATCTATCTATCTATCTATCTATCTATCTATCTATCTATCTATCTATCTATCTATCATAAACAGTTTATGTCTGTTTAGAAGATCTCTTTATTCTAGCAAATGCGCACATAGATACAAGTTAAACAAGAAACAAAATGATTACATACATATATGTGAACGTGCGCACACACACACACGCGCAGAAATTAATAAGCTGAATATATAAAGTTACTACAAATAGATGCATATCTGCCTATCAATATATATATATATATAGAGAGAGAGAGAGATAGAGATAGATAAACATCTCTATATATAAACATGCACTCATGTATATATACATACACGCACTCATGTATATATATGTATATATATTTACATATACATACACATACTCATATATAAACACACCCTCACGCACACATATATATATAGTGAGAGAGAGAGAATGAGACCGAGAGAAATCGACAGAGTCAGAGACAAAGAGATATACATGCGCACATACGTGTATATATATATATATATATACAAATTATATATATATACACATATATATGCACATTATATATATATATGTAAAATTATATATATATACATATATATATATATATATATATATATATATATATATATATATATATATATATATATTATATATATATATATATATATATATATATATATATACACTTCCGTGGTAGAGCCCCGAAAGGAATAACTAAAGAAACCGTTCTTTAATGAATCCTATGAAGCAGTTAACTGAAACTCTTTCGCCTCACTCACTCACTCACTCACTCACTCACTCTTTCTCATTTTATGTTTTCTCCCTCCCCCAATCAATTCTGTGCAAACAAGACTCTTTTTGAAAGTCAGTACTAATCAATATTTCAATATAATTAATCAAAGCGAAAAAGAACAAACTCCGAATGAAATTCGACATAGTAAAGCCACCAAAATACCAATGTGAGACGATTCCTGATTTCTTTGATTATTTTCATAATTTTCCGATTCCTTAAGTTCTATCCACGCCCCCGTCCCCACATCTCCACCACCACCCCTCATCAGTCAATATTGCTTGGAGCAAGCAGGAAGATGAATAATTTGGTTTCTTGTCTTTTTTTTTACGTTTATTTACTGATTTGTTTATTATCGTACGTTTTGGGGTGTTTTTTCAACAATACTTTCCACGCGTCGATCTTTTGAAGACATAATGTTAGATCTTATTAACGGCTAGGAAGAGTTTGTTTCGCAAGCAGGCTAGAGAAATTGGCGTAAGTCAGAGGATAATGTCATAAAGAAAGGGAAAATAACGAGAGAGAAGGAGAGGGTAAGATTAAGAATAAAAGGAGACGTGGAAAAAAGAAAAACGATAAAGGAAAAACAAAAGAAACGAAACGAAATAAGATGAGATGTTTGGAAACTTGGGAAGAAAGAAAGCGAAATAAAAACAAATATAAAAATTGATGGCAAATCGACTCCAGCTTGTTTAGAAACCCATCAATACTAGTTTTTTTTTTCTTAGTAGATGTCCTTGTGCCAGTCGAAGCTAAGCTTATAAAGTATTATTACAATTCATATACTTATTTTTATTTTCGATGCTAAATTCTGGGTGGAACAGGTGAAAGCCATAGATGTAAAGAATAATTCCTCAAGGTTAAATAATTGTTAAATTTAAATTGGTGCAACATAATCCCTTTAACCCTCTCGACAATTTGGCTTCGGAAAATAGAGAAAGAAAAAAAGAGATTATTCTATGAAGAAGGCGAGATGATTGCAAGTACATTTTAAAGGTAGATCATATAATAATGAGAGAGTAGGAGGAAGAAAAAGGTAAAGAAGAGAATAAGTGGGAAGAGGGCTCTAAGAGAGGGGCATTAACATGAGAAAAAAAGAGAGAGAAAACAACTGATGATAAGGAAAGGAAAAAAACGGGAAATTGGCGAGTAAGGAGTAGAAAAGAGTAAGGAGTGAAGAGTAAAGATGATTTTAGATGCGAGGAGAGCCGATGAAAAATATTATTATGAAAAAATAATATAAAGAAAAAAATTTATGAGCAGTAAGAGGTTTATATATGGATAAGAGTTTATATATATATATATATATATATATATATACATACAGAGAGAGATCTTCCAAGAGTAGCTTAGATGTAGCACAAGGCCGAAAGTACGGGGCATCCAGTGTGGATCGAACTCATTTTCAGTAGTAACTGATCTAGCAAGACAAACTTGCTAACCATTACACCACGCCGAGGTGCCTGTATACATATATATACATATAGTTTTTCCTATTGTCCTTTTATTCATTTGTTTTTTTACAGATAAATCTCTATCTGAAAATAATTTTACACACGCATATATATATATATATATATATATATATATATATATATATATATATATATATATATATATATATATATATATATATATAGTTTTCCTCCTAGCTTTTTATTCATTTTGTTTTTTCCAGATAAATCTCTATCTGAAAATAATTTACACACACACACACACACACACACACATATATATATATATTAAGAAATGGACAAAGTCAAACAATTTATTTATTAAAGACATTTTTATAAAAAAGAACGTTAAACATAAAAAAATCTTTAATAAATATATATATATATATATATATATATATATATATATGTAAGCAAATATATGGATATAGATCCGACAGCATGAAAGAAAAATACAGAAAAAACAAACAAAAAATCTGAATATGCAATTATGTAGTATTAATGTTAATATAAAGTCGACGTCGGACGTTTCGGTCTATTTAAGACCATCTTCATGGACATTTTCATTTAAACATAATTAACATTAGAACTTATAAAAATTTAACACAAAAGACGATGATCTGTATAAAATTTCAGTTATCTGTTTGGATTAGTTCGGCTCTTATGTCCATCGTCTTTTGTGTTAAATTTTTGTTTGTTTTTTCTGTATTTTTTTTCATATATATATATATATATATATATATATATATATATATATATATATATATATATATATAAACCAGAGAAAGGAACAATTATAATTCTAGCTAAAGATAGGAGGCAGTCTAATGGAAAGGTCCTGGAACTCTAGTTTTACTTTCAGAACTATGTACTATCCATCTCACAAAATATATTCAAATATATTTGACGGGTGGGGCAAATCAGGAAAAGCGGAAGAGGAAAAGTTAGTGAAGAAGAAAAGAAAAGAGAGAAAAAAGATGCGGAGGTAAAAGAGAAAAGGGAAAATGAGAAACAAGAGGGGGAGGAGGAGACGACGAGATGTTGAAAACAAAAATGGTTAGCATGCTTGTCTCTCACATTGCTGTCGGGAGTTCTATTTGTACAAATGTTCTGTACTTTTAGCCTTGTTCCATACTAAGTTAAACGTAGTCAATACCAAATAAATAAATAAAAAAATAAAATGGAAGACAAAATTTGTACCGTTAATTAGAGAAGATTTTAGGATAACTCAAGGAGGCCAACAATGAAATAAAAAAGAAACTTAGTAAGGAATGAAGATTGAAAGAAATAACTATGGATGAAAAATGAGATGCTATCGAATTGTGTAAGAAAATAATAATCGCAGACCAAGGGGGTTTTATAGAAGAAAGAGGATAAAACAAGGAAGTGGTTACACTAAATGGTTATTTTTATTTTTATTTTCAAAATCTTAACATGTAATAGCATTTTTTTTCGGCTTATCAACCTTTTGCAGGTCATTTAAAGCCAGAAAATAATTTTAGATTGCAAGAATTTTTGGCAGATAATAATAATTTACTGACACAAATCTTAATAATTAATCCATGGATTGGAAGGAAGAGGTAGTTTCATCTCCGCTGAAGTCAATATCACTAGCTCGAGTTGAATTGGAACTCGGCTCTCCGAGTTCCAATTCCGAGACGTTACCAATTACACAGCTTGTACATCCAAGCTTACAGCACCTGATATTCCCATGCAGTCATCCATCAAGGTACTGACCAGGCTCGACGTTGCTTAACTTCGGTCATCGTACAGTGTTTTAACGTAATATGGCCGAAAGCCTCTAAGAGCAGAGGAGAAATTCAACTTTAGAGAAAAATATAACAATGAAAAAGGCAGACAACTTAAGAAAGATAATTACATAGATCCGAAAAGAACATTTCCTCAGTTTGATAATAGATAAATATATACTCAGGTAGATGTTAAAATAGTTTTAAAGTATACAATATTTAACAATATTAGTAGAACAGGAAGGGAGAGTAAGGCTGGATCTGGAGAGGAAGGGGAATATAATTTAAGCGTTGGTTGCGGAGGACAATTACTCTTATGCTGTTAAATGAGTAAGAGAAGGCGGGTGTCTTGTCCCTTCCTCTGTGCTCTGTGCCGAACACTGGACTCCTGACGACGATGAGTTATCTGTTGTATAATATGAATTGTGTATATGTGTCCCAAATGAGATGGGAGAGAACATCATGACGCCGTGTGGAATTGTTCTTGGAGATGCTACAGGACAGGTGTCGCATCGGGAATGCGCATGCGCGAAGCTGTGTATATGCCTGTGTGTATATGCGGATACATACGCACATCTTTCTTTCTTTCCTTCTTTCTTTCTTGCAAACTCCAGGATCACTGTTAAGTCACACAACATTTTTCTCTGGTTGTATCATGAGGACACGCATATTATATATTCATTTATTATCTTCGTTTGTAAAGCCTGTAATGTCTAAATACATTGGCTGGGGATTCACATATATTAATTTATTCTTCTGATGGTAAATAAATAAGTTGTCAATACACAAATAAAAGAAAGCAATAAGATGAACAGGTAAAAATAATAATTATTTCTGTGTACAAAGTTACGTGATATAAATTTCTCTCTTCCCTCTCTCTATATCTATATATATATATATATATATATATATATATATATATATATATATATATATAATGAGGAAAAATTATTATGCCAACTTTAATGATACTAATAGTCAATTATAAGGAGCATTGCTAACAGTAATAAGACACTATTACTAAAATATTAATTATATTGATTATAATGTTACCATTAAGGCACCTCGGTGTAGAACAATGATTAACCAGGCTAGTGGTATTGACCATTACTAATGAATCTTGCGTTAGATCCTTATTAGATGCCCTGTATAAAACTCGATGTTAAATAACCCAACAATGGTTGACATGTTGCGAAGTGATCAACTAAAATTTACTATTAATCTATCAACAGAAACAATAGCATATAATAATAATAATAATAATAATAATAGACTAGCTGTAACTTGATTTTTTATGAATCTCATCAAATACGACGAGTGTTAAAATTAAAAATAATAATAATCGACCTTCCGATAGTTTCATCGCAAACGTTAAGAACAGGTTAAAAAAAAACAACCTTGCTGACACATTGTAACCGGCAATTCCTACCAGAAATATTCAATAAAAGATACAAATAATAATAATAATAATAATAATAATAATAATAATAATGCAATAGGAGGACTATCTGTCACTTGACCCCTATCGAATGGTGTTAAAATTCAGTAAGATGAAAAATGATAGAGAGAAAAAATGCAAGTTGGACACTTAACAGTGTACTATAAATGCGATTAAGAGTGTTGGGGAGATTTACTGTCTCTTGATCTCCATTTTTCTTTTTTATTATCTCCTAGTGTTATATAAAGAGAAAATAATAATAATAATAATAATAATAATAATGATAATAATAATAATAATAATAGTAGTAGTAGTAGTAGCAGTAGTAGTAGTAGTAGTAATAATAATTGATCAGCTTTTTTTTCTGTCAGATTTTTTGGTATGAAAAGTTTTCATTATTTCTAATATTTACATGCGGACTATTAGTGATAACAACAAGAAAGATGAGAACAATAGCTTACATGTAAATACAGTGTAACCCGGATATAAGAGAGTTGTCGGGGCCGGAGAAGAAGTCTCCTATATCCGTGTTTGGTCCATTTTATATACATTAACACAGGCTCTAATTTGGGACCAGAGAAAGTCTCTCTTATATCCGGGTTTCTCTTATATCCGGGTTACACTGTAGTGTAAAGAACAATTTTCTTTTTCAGTTTTTCCTCATTTATTTCATCTTAGGTTGAAGGTTAAAAAAAAGTAAAAAGGAGCTTCAGTCTAAACGCTTCACTCTCTCTTTTCCATCTTCTCCCTCTCTTTCTATTTCTCTCTCTTTCTATTGCTCTCTCTTTCTATCACTCTCGCCTCTACTTTCTATCCCCTCTCTCTCCCTCTCTTCTCTCTTTTTCTATTCTCTCTCTCTCTTTCCCTCTCTTTTCTCCTCTCTTTTCCCTCTTTCTCCTTTCTCTCTCTTCTCTCCGTCTCACTTACTCCTCCTCTTCCCTCTCATTCTGTTTCTCTCTGTTTCTACTTATTTCTCTTTCTATTGCTCTCTCTCTCTTTTCTCCTCTCTCGCCCCTCTCTCTCTCTCTCTCTCTTTATTCTCTCTCCCCTTCTTTCTATCTTCGCTCTCTTCCCACTTTTTTTTATTTCTCTCTTTCAATTTCTCACTCTCCTCTCTCTGTATCTCTCCTCTCTCACTTTTCTCTCTCTCTCTCTCTGCTCTGTTTTCTATCTCTACTCTCTCTCTCTCTCTCTCTCTCTCTCTCTCTCTCTCGCCCGTTACCGCATTAGAAGACAATAAAAAAGGTAAACTTGATTAATTGTATTTAATATGCCAAGTCGCAAACGTCGACGGGCGCGTAATAAAAAAAGTATATTTTTTTTTATTCTGGTGATGGCCAAAACATTTTTTTTTCTCCCTGGTCTCGCCCATCAGGACAAGGCTATTTTTTTTTACTTTTATTTTCCATCTGAAATCTCCACTTCTGGTACTTTGTCTACCTTGTAAATTTTTCTTTAAAGCCAACTTAGGAAGGAAGGAAAGAATAAAGGATAGAGAAGAAATGATGAATAAATTCCTTCAAAGAAAGAAAGACAGAAAAAACGAGAAGGGGAACAGAAAAGTGTACGAAAGGCGAATAAGTGAATCGGTTGAGAAAACAAATGAAGAAAAATATGATATAAAGACAAATGAGGGAAGAAGGAAATATTGCATTGGAAGAATGAGCGAAAAGCAATGATGGAAAGAAAGACAGACAGAAGACAAAGGGATTCATAGTTTTGCAAAAAGATGAGATGAAAACGCAAAAATAAACGTGTATATCAAATGAATATATATATGGGAATTAAAAAACAGATATGGACAGACTTAGTCTCAATGTAGTGGTGTGGAAAGATACCAAGTTAAAAAGCTATTGTCGTAAATCATTCCTACTGTAGTGTGTTTCGTCTACATTGCGCCCATTATATTGTACTAAACCTCAGCTAGTTAAATAGATAGAATTAATCAGACTTAGATAAATAGGTATGAATTGGCTTTCATAGATATGAAGAATTAAATTATAAAAACGTAAAGATATCTATCTATCTATCGATCTATCTATCGTTGCTGGGAAAAGCAAATGGTGTAATGTTTGTAAGGTACAATCGCATATATATTAATCATAGTTACTTGATTATCTATCTATCTCAGTTACTTTATTATCTATCTCTCTATCATATAGGAGTATGTTCATATCTATCTATTATATAACAGTCTGTTCATTATCTCTCTATCTAACATATAGCAGTGTTCATCTCTCTCTCTCTCTTTCTCTCATATAGCAGTCTGTTTATATCTAGTGATTTTCCAAGCGTAGCTTAGATGTGGCACAAGGCCGAAAGTATGGGGCACCCAGTGAGGATCAAACTCACTATTCAGTCGTAAATTAAAGTCTGTTCATATCTTTCTATCTATCTATCTATCTATCAAACAACAGTCTGTCCATCTCTCTCACTCACCCTCTCTTTTTCTCTATCATATAGCAGTCTCTCTATATCTCTCTGTATCATATATCAGTCTGTTCATATCTAACTATCTGTGTATCTGATAGCTGATTTCAAGGGCATAAATGCGAACATATACGCAACAGTCTAGGCAGAAATTTGAACTCAGCCTGCCGTTACCATTTTCCCCACCAATAACTGTTACGCCACCTGCACCTACGTTAAACATGTATATACCTAAAGATTTCCATTGAAGAATTTCACAGGATTAGAAAGTCAAGTCTCAATCATTTAACGATCAAACGCTGGCTGACAACCATGGTGGGGGACTACCTAAAAATATACACAATCTCCCATGACAGTGGACGTCAACTTCTACTAATGTAACTGCTGTAATTAATTTTAGTAAAGCTGAGACTACCATCCGAGAAGATTGTACCATTTTGACTAACAGTCAGTAGCATCCTATAAAATAATAAGAAAAAAACCTACCCCAGTGTTGAGGTCAACAATCTAGACGAGTTCAAGTTTAATTCAAGGATATTTATCGGGAATGGATATATTATCCACTATAAATTCTTCCATACAGGTCTGTTTTATGAACACGTCCGGATCCACTGATGAATAGCAAGACAAAGACTTACTTCGGACATGAAAGACAACCATGTTTGATGATTAGAAATGAAAGTAAACATGTTGTGGCGCTTTTTTTTAAGCTGAAATAGAGGTGTAACTGTTGAGGATCGAACTCGCTATGTCAGCAAGGATCAACAAGACTCGCACTCGGGCTGGTGACCGACACCATGAAATTGGCCTGTTGACGAAAATTGGCCTCGCTTGATATTTATCAAGACTGCTAAGAAAATTTATTTATTTATTTTTCTTTAAAAAAGCAAAGCAAAAAAAAAAACAAACAAAGCATGGGACGTAATTGTGGCACTAATGTTTGGGAGTAACACTGATTAAACCTGTTATCATTTTATTTCCAGTGGGACCCACCAGAGAATTCTGAAGCGAAAATGATTTATTCCTTTTTGTTGTCATTTTTTGGTTGTTTTTCCTTTGATAAAACAACGCTGTATTATTCATTCTTTTGTAAGGGAAACAAGACTACTAAACAAATAAAGCGGGAGGGATCTACAGCTTTATAGAAGCAAAGATCGCTTATTGTTCTGTATACAAGTACTGGTAAATATGAACAGATATAGAATAGAATAGCTAGATAGATAGCTAGATAGATAGATAGATAGAGAGAGAGAGATATGAAGAGGATGAGATACAGAGATAGATGGATATTAAGAGACGGAGACAGATATGAAGAAACTGAGGTAGATAGCAGCCTTTATTGAAGACCCCTCCAATGTGGAAGATATATATATATATATATATATATAGATAGATAGATAGATAGATATGAAGAGGGAGATATAGATACATATAGATAGATTGATAGATAGATCGATATGAATATTTGAAGAGGGACATATAGATACATATGGATATAGATAGATAATGAATGTGCCGAGATAGATAGATAGATAGATAGATAGATAGATAGATAGATAGATAGATAGATAGATATGAAGAGGCTGAGATAATTAACAGCTTTTATTGAAGTAAATTGAATATGTAAGAATATAATATGAAAATCAATGTCTTCACAATAAAATTGGTATTATCCGATATTGAAAAATATTCCAGGATATATTTATATGAGCAACATATCATTTCAGTTTCATCTTATAATATTTCTTCCAATAACAATATTTTTCCCCGATTAAAAATACAATAGTTTGTTTAATGAAAGTCAGGTTTTCTTATATAAAGAAAATGCAACATAATTATTTATTTATGAAGAAATCCAAAATATATTGGTCATAGAAACATATTTGATTAATAGATGACCCCATATACCTTAACAGATTATTATTTCACCCGTTAATATCTATTAATTTGATGTCTTTGAAAATTATTTGGCAAGCTGAACAATATTCGGCTTTGAAGAATGTGAAGGTATAGTGTTTTGAATATAATTTTTTAGTACAAGGTTTCTTAGTTTTTATCTTTACCAGTCAAAAGGCTTAGAATAATTCTCTGTCCTCTTTAATACCTCATCAATTTTGAAGTTCCTTTTGACCCCTAATCAATTTTGAAGTTCCTTTTAACCCCTCTTCAATTTTGAAATTCCTTTTGACCCTTCATCAATTTTGAAGTTCCTTTTGACCCCTAATCAATTTTTAATTTCTTTTTGATCGCTCATCCATTTTTACGGCAGGCAATAATAAACCAAAACATTGCTTTCTTTTTAATCATTTCACCCCAAGAAAGGCGATAATGCCACTAAGACGCAAGGGGTTATGGGTATGAAAGGGAATTAGGAGATTTTACAAGAAACCAGAAACGTAATCCTGAACAAGGGATAAAATTTTACTCCTGTTCAATCGATGGGGAAAGAGTGTAGACTCCTGTCTTGTAAATCGTCTTGGTTGAGTAATTCCTTGAAAGAGGCAACCCTCCAGCGAAACTATCAAGTCCAGTTAATGTATCACTAAATCCACTACGATAAAATAATGTTAAGAAAACAGATTATATGAACTTTTTCACCCAAATTACACATTTCTCATTGCGATGTTTATTCTAAGGTAAAGGTTTCGTTACTTTCTGTAACTGTAGCCAGTCTTATTAATATTATCAAGAGTTTCTTTCTGTTAACATTTGCAATACCAGCATCAAATATTTTCTTTCTGGTTAATCAACTTTTCTTACTTATTATTCTTTTGACTTTCTTCAAATCTCTTTTTTGATCACCGAAGTTAAGCAACGTCGATCCTGGTTAGTATCTAGATGAGTGACCGCTTTGGAATATCAAGAGCTGTAAGCTTGAATGTGCAGGTGATGTTATGGATAAAGTCTTGGCATTGTCAATCAGAGAGCCGACTCCCAATTCCAGTTGGGTTCGTTATATTCACTTACGCGCAAATACCGTTGGGTATGGTATGAATCCACCTCTTCTGAACCCCAGCTATGGGTTAATTAGTAAGACTTGTATAACTAAACCATAATTATCTCCAAAAATTATCTTTTTTTCTTCTTCTTCTTTTACAGATATATACTTTAGTTATATCTGAAATTTTATATATATATATATATATATATATATATATATATATATATATATATATATATATATTATGTATTTAGGCAGCAGTCTCTCTTTTATACAAGCTTCATTAAAGACTTCTGCGATTAAGCTTTTTAATATATATATATATATATATATATATATATATATATATATATATATATATCTTGCATTCGTACAATGATTTATTTTCTGGGCATAGTATATAACAACTGTCCAAATGATTTGTGGAACCGAATGATTTCGGTTAAGCTTGATAGCCATTATCAACGATGAGTTTTTCTTTTACTGAATATGTAGATTTTTTATACATATATACACAGGTTTTATTAATTTTCGAACATGGTCAACACGTTGTGGTCGTGTTCATAATTGAACGCTGTTTTCTTTTTTATTATTAATGCTGCCATAAATTGTTAACCGTTTGTTTGCATGTGTCTATTATAGTCGTATTGCCCATAAATATGCTGCGGAAAGAGGTTGATAGGTCTCCGTGTGTATTTAGATGGGTCCTTATGAAGTCATGTCCCGAGAGATGCAAATCAAATCTTCTTGATATATATAAGGATGAATCAATAAGTATGTATCATGACGCTTAACTTTAAGCTGGACTTTTATCAAAATATTCTCACTGTATAATATTCAACAAGCTTTCTTATTCATA